GATGATGAAGATGATGTGTGTCATGTGCAGATGAAGGTGTTATTGGTGATGATGATGATGATGAAGATGATGAAGATGATGATGATGATGATGATGATGAAGATGATGTGTGTCATGTGCAGATGAAGGTGTTATTGGTGATGATGATGATGATGAAGATGATGAAGATGATGATGATGATGATGATGATGAAGATGATGTGTGTCATGTGCAGATGAAGGTGTTATTGGTGATGATGATGATGATGAAGATGGTACCTGCTCTCCATCCACTCCATCCAGCCCGTCCTCTCCATTTTCTCCCTGCAACATGAAACCACAGCTGGAGATGAGACCTTATCGGGTCCAGACCCTCCTGATCTGGTTCAGAACCAGAACCTGTGACCTCGGCCGGTCCGACTCACCCGGTTCCCCCTCAGGCCTCGGTTCCCCTGCAGAGACAAGCAGCTGAAGTCAGAGTGGTTTTTATCAGACCTGGAGGCACCGAGAACTGATCTGTACCTTCTGTCCTCTGAGTCCAGGACAGCCTTGGACACCTGAAGGTCCACTGGGTCCAGACTTGCCCCGGTCTCCCTGCAGAGATCAGAATCCAGCATCAGAACAGAACCGGAGCTCCTGTGTCAGACTCAGCCTGGGGCTTCAGACTGACTCTGACGGAGCTGAGGAGAAGTAAGACCTGGTTCCTGCTCGCTGCTCAGGACTTCAGTGTGGGTTAAAGTCAGACACTCACAGAGACGCCTTCCTCTCCTGGGAACCCGGGGTAACCGTTGTGTCCCGACACGCCCTGTTCACAAAACACACAAACCACTTCACTGTCCCCGGAGCTGTCGTTAAAACACACATTTATTCTCACGATAAACAAGAGTTCAGCTTTTATTTCTTCACATCTTGATTCATTCCTTCAGGTAAAAACGGTTCAGTTTCCTCTGCCTTCAATCTAATGAAGTAAAAAGATAAAGCCTTCAGCTGTTTTTAGGAGGAATAAAATGATGAACTTCCTGTTTTAGAGTGAAAAACTGGATTTATCAGGATCAAGGATCAGGTTTCAGAGGGAACTGTTGATCTTTGGACCCTGGAATCCATCAAACCTGAGGCCGGTTCTGCTCCTGACACATTTTCTGTTTTTAAAGTTTAAACGTGTGTGCTGCCGTCACCTTTGGCCCCGGGGGGCCCCGGGAGCCTCGGACCCCTTCGTGCCCCGAACATTTACACATGACGCCGCAGCACTCCCGGTCCGACACGCCGTCCTGCAGAGAAACGAGTTTGTTGGAGTTCTTTCTGCAGTTCTGTTGGAGCTGCAGCAGGTCAGCCTTTAGGACCTACGATCTGTTTGAGGATGGTGCTGCCCACGCTCGGCATGCCGATGCTCAGAGGCAGTTTGTATCCGAAGCCTCGACCGAACTCCACCATCTGCAGCTGAGCGGCGTCTCGAGCTCCTTCCAGAGCCACCACAAGCAGAGCGCTGACTCCTGCAGAGAAACAGCTCCGGCTGTCACACCACAGCAGCTTCAACAATCACATGGTCTGCGTGCAGATCTACTGGGACATGTGTGGATGCACACTCACTGTGAACCTAGTGATTAGACAGAAAATAGACCCTATACAAGTCATGAAATGTGCATCATCAGTCTGCATCAGTCGTCTAAAGCCTCATCATGTGAGGAAGGTGACAGGTCGGGCGGTTCTGTTTCGGTGTTTACCGGACTGTCGCAGCAGCTCAGATTCATTCTCCAGAGTCATCACATCTTCATCCAGTCCGTCAGAGAAAATCACCAGAACCTGAGGAGAAGGTGGGTCACATGATCACTCAGGACCCGGTGCCACGCAATGCAAGAGTTCGGCTCTTAGGAGGTTAAACTAAACCATCTGACAGCATCGATACAAACCACCCTCCACATGTTTCCTTTAGTTTTAGTTTTACCTGCTAATGACACGAGTAAACAGCTAAAATACTGTTATAGTAGCTGAAAATGGTCTGAAAAGATCAACATGTCACCAGCGAAACAGAGAATCTCTCCTGTTGTTCATGAGTACAAACATTTCTGATCAATGATAATAATTAATAAAAATCCTGAACTTTAAATGACAGACGAGTTTTTTCTGAGCTCCAACTTGTGTTTGACAGATAAAAACAAGCCTTGATGAAAAACCAACAGGAGAGGACAGCAGCTCGGTTAGAAATGAAGTCAGGGAGTTTATGTTGCAGATCAAAGGAGTCTGCAGACCGTTATCATGACTCCATCCTGATACAGCTTCTTTTCATTAGCCGAACATTAGCCGAACATTAGCTGAACATTAGCCGAACATTAGGTGAACATTAGGTGAACATTAGGTGAACATTAGCCGAACATTAGCCGAACATTAGCCGAACATTAGGTGAACATTAGGTGAACATTAGCCGAACATTAGGTGAACATTAGGTGAACATTAGCCGAACATTAGCCGAACATTAGGTGAACATTAGCCGAACATTAGCCGAACATTAGGTGAACATTAGGTGAACATTAGGTGAACATTAGGTGAACATTAGCCGAACATTAGGTGAATATTAGCCGAACATTAGCCGAACATTAGCCGAACATTAGGTGAACATTAGCCGAACATTAGCTGAACATTAGCCGAACATTAGGTGAACATTAGCTGAACATTAGCCGAACATTAGCCGAACATTAGCCGAACATTAGGTGAACATTAGGTGAACATTAGCTGAACATTAGCCAAACATTAGCCGAACATTAGGTGAACATTAGCTGAACATTAGGTGAACATTAGGTGAACATTAGCTGAACATTA